CTAAGCATTTATGTTTTCGTGTTATAATTTGTGTTCATTCTAGAATGAAAGAGGCATAATTTATGTTTATTTCCTAATTTTTTATGATAGTTTGTGAGATTGGTCAAATTTACCAAAATTGATTATATTTTATTATCCAAAAAGTGTTTATTATTATCATATATATATTTTTATTCTATCTTATAAAATATTAAGTATTTTATTGAATAAAATGGCTGGTTGTTTAATAATTGTTTTCACTATACTGGAAATAAATCTTAATTTTATTGGAGATTTATGTAGTTTAGGAAGAGCATACAGGAAAGATAAAAAAATGTGGTTTAGAATGAAGTTTTTGTAAGCTTTAATGAAATCATTAATTTCAATCTATCATTGGTTAACTAGTTTATATGTTTGTGTACTATTAATTTCATTTATCATAAGTAGTGCATAAGACTTTTTACAAATAAACCCAAAATTGCAATTAACTTTACCTATGGTAACAATGACATATTTTTCTTGAAATTCTTGTACTTATTTCTTAATTGGTAAAATGTAATATGTATAGGGAATATATTTAACTTTATATGAGATAATTTAAATCTTATTTTATTAAGTACATAAAACTTCCATTCTAAAAACCATCTAGGTGGATAAGATGTAATATAATTAAGTTTCGAAATGTATTCATCAATATTGTTTTAGAATATCTTACTTGTTACATTTTGTGGCAGTTCTGTATATAGATTCTTTTTTAACAATTTCACTTAGAACTTGTAAAAGATAAACTATTGTGTGACATTTTTGCCTTAACTTATATATATATATTGATGATTTTATTAGTACAAATAATCCTGAGATAAATAATTTTATTAACACTATTTATCGTGTAGAATTGAAAAAATTTGAATTTCTGAAGTAGAAGCACATGATTTAGATGTACAAATTAAAATAATCAATCTTGATATTAATTTAAATTTTTTTGATAAAAGAAAAAAAAGTTTCTTTTTGAATATAGGGCCTACCCTCTTAATAGTAATATTAATATGTGATATTCTTCTGTTGTAAGTATTGTAACTTCATAATTGCTCAGACTCACTAAAGTTTGTAATAAGTTACAATATTTCCATATTAACATTGAAATATTGATACAAAAATTTATATTTTTGGATTTAATAAAGAAACATTATATACAATTATTAAAATATTTTATGAAAAATACAAAAATGTATTGCATATATTGAAATCTCCAATAAATATTTTTAGTTTTTAATAAGGTCATTTAAACATTGTTTTCATGTGTTTTTATACTAGTTTAATTTGTTTATTTTTAATATTAACTTTTACTACTATAATTGGGGCTGAAATACTAACGTTAGGAGGTAAGACCTAGTTTAGTTTCATTTCTTTTGAAAGCAGTCACCTTCCCACAATTGTCCGAAGGCAGTGAAGGGTGATATAGATGTGGGACATTGTAGGCTTGAGCACTCGCATCTTGCTCTCCTAACTTATTTTTCTTTCTTTAATGTGGAGCTTAGCAAACAAGGTTAATACTGGTAGATGGTGTATCCCCACTGGTATGTGGGTTTTACTTCCACACTCAACTCCAAAACTCTCACACATCTTATATCCCACATTGTAGCCTGTGTACTGGTGATGTTTTTAATATATGCAGCAGTTTTGTAGTAGTTCTTAATATTTACTTAACTGTTGAAATAATGTTTTTACAGAGATGTTAAATGTATGCATATACATATATAAAATTCTTTATACATATAATTTTAAGAATTTTTGGTATAAGCTTTCATGACATCAAATGTGGATAGTAATAGTAAGGTAATACCTAAACCAGTTAGGTATTGATAACATGATTGGTGTAATTTTAGTGAGCTGAGTGTGACCCCCTGTGAGTCTATTTTGTGAAATCAGGAATTTTATATATATATATATATATATATATACATGTACAATAAAATTAAAGTGTTCTTAATTTCAGGTGCGTGTAGCATCACTTCAGTGCTTAGTGAAGATCATGTCACTTTATTATCAATATATGGAACACTACATGGGCCCTGCTTTATTTGCTGTAAGTGATTATTGCTCATTTGTTAATGTTATAGGTTATTCTGTTAAGTATGAGATACCAGAGTTCCTTGTAAGATATCTTTAAATATTTGCTGTGAAGAAAACATAATAATTCTTAATAGTCCATTCACTTTGATTAACATTACCTTTAATGTTTAATTTATCTTTACCTTTAATTTTAATTTTACCTTTAACTTTATTTTATCTTTAACACACACCTTTGAATAGTTGGCAGAATTGTTATACACAAACATAAAGAGTGCACATAAATCTGTGCTAATGCTATTCAAATATAAAAAAACATATTACTGATTAAAAAGTGACTAAATCTCAATCACAAAAATAGCAATAAAATGTACTTATATTACCAAGGTGGGTGTGGAGTTATAATCTGTAAACCTGAATGAAGCAGTCAATAAAATACAGAAATAGACAAATCTCGAAAGTATTCCAAATAATGTTATTTTGACTTTTCTCTTGTCTGGCAAAAACAAATTAAATTTTTCTTAGTTGTTTTTGTATCAGCAACATTGTTATATGTATTTTGTGTCAGTTTTTTTCATATTGTTACTACCATTGTGATTTTTTATAGATCACGATTGAAGCCATGAAAAGTGAAACTGATGAAGTTGCTCTTCAGGGTATTGAATTCTGGTCAAATGTATGTGATGAAGAAGTGGATTTAGCCATTGAAGCTTCAGAAGTTAGTAATGTTTAATTATGTATTCATGAACATCAGTCTCAATCATTTAACTTTATGGACACAGGCTCATGTATTTTACATGACCTTAGTCCATAAAGTTAAATGATTGTGAAACTATGAAGGTACACGTGCTATAAATCTCAAAGTACTTAATATAACTTCATGAAATTAAGCAAGCTTTTAGTAAACATGAAAAATCATTTGTACACAAAAAATCAGATTTCTTAATTAAGTATTTTTACTAAAGATTTGTTTGTTAATGTATGAAGTCAGAGTGTTGACTGGTCTAAGTGCAAAGTGATTTTCATGTTAAAATTAAAAAATACTTTTATTCATCTTAGGTTTCAAATTTCATTTGCATAATCTCTAAAACCTCCTAATTGACTATCAGATATTTTTTCAGTTAAACTTTATATCTTATCTGTTATTTTCGCTACCCTGACTCTATATGGAATTGGTCTAGTTGACCAATTGTTTTTTAACCACCACAAAAATATGAAATAAATCTAAATTACTCTTTTTTTTTTAACCCCCCATTTTAACTTGTGGGCACATTGTAAGAGACAATTACAAAATATTTAATTTTACAGTTTAAGCTAATACTTTTTATCATTTAGTTTTTATATTTACAGTTGAACTTTGATCATCTCAGCCAATGGCTATTTATTATGCCGAACGGCTTTGTGTAAGCAGTAGATTCAGTTACAAGCTCGCTCATGTCGAATTACACAACTGCACTCAAATTTCACACATGCTATCATTGATCATGAGTATTTTGCCTATTTATTTCATTTAAAAATACTTATAATAAGTTTTTTAATTTTTTACATTTTAGTTACTTTTATAACAATAAATAGAAAATAAGAAATTTAGTACTTAAATCTGAAATTTTATCTTTTTCAATATTTTGCATTTGTACAATCCAAATCAACATTAAAACTTAACTCTAATTCAGTGTGATAATATTGTGATCTTGGAAATGTTTTTTGAATTCAATTATTCAATTTAAGAGTGTGAATTATTTCCACAAATATAAAATACGTTTTCCTAAAAACTTATAATTTATCTAGTTTTCTAACTGAGATAGACATAGCTTAGAATCATCTCCATGCCTGTTCAAACAGTAGCATAGAAAGAAACTTGCTTTAAAATGTTCAGTTTTCTTAGTTGAAGGCCTTTAGACTGTAGCAATAAGTTAAATGAATATTTTGTTTTCTATTGGTTGTAATGAATATCAGAGGAATTTATGAATATTTTTGAAAGTAAGATGCTCGTTTGGGATGTGACATGTAGCCTTTACTTTATTGCTTATATTTTCCTAATGCATAAAGCATTTTTGCTAAAAATTGACAGTTTAGCTTAAGGATATGTATAGTATAAGTGAGAAATTCCACAGAAAGTTACAAGACTGTATGAGAGTGGCAGAAAATGTAGAAATGGACAATTTGGACTGAAGAAGTATTATGTGATACAGAAAGTGAGAATTGAACATCAATCTATAAAATGTCATGTCACTTTAATCTACCAATCCTTAGAATGTTAAACATATTTTAAATTTATTCAGTTCTTATAAAGTAAAATTATTTGATTTGGAAAAAAGAGTCTAAAATATTAAGGGACTATGCTGGTCTAAAAGTTTAGAGAAGTGACTTCTCCTTATGTTCCAAAACAGAGAAGATTTTGAATGAATGCAATAAATTAAAAGTAAAATGAAAGTTTTGTTGGTCCTTAGTGTTACGTGGAAAAATTTGACTAGCCAAATGAAGTGTTTGTATAAATATGTTTGACAGAGATATTTTTTGTTGTCTTTGGTATTTTTTAATCTTGGGACTTGGTTTTGGGGAATAGCACTATAACTATGATTGCAATCCAGACTAGAATGACTTCAAATTGTAATATGAAACTACATTTGTTTATGCTAAATAGCTTTAAACTCATAGCCGTATCAATCTGTTTGTACTTAAATTATATTTTTTATTGCCCTTTGAGCCATGTTTAACTAATATTCCCACCACATAAGTTGTAAACCACTTGGCAAATATGCAGCTCGCATAACTCTATTGAATTATATAATGCACTGGCTACTCATGAGCAACCTCTTTAAAAATATTGTATTATTATTCTTTATTTTACCTGATTTAACCTTATCTAACCTAAAAAGTTTCTAAATTTTACTGTTTAGTTACTTTTATAATAATAAATAAAGAAGAATACACATGAAAAAACAAGAAATAAAATACTTATCTGGGCTCTCTCTTTCTTTTTTTTTTCCTGTAATATTATATGTCATTTGATACATTAAAACCTTGACTTTCTATTGGTTATAAATGATATGGTATTAAACATGAGAGAGAACTGTTGATAATTTATGAAAGATAGAATGTGACATGTGGGAGTAGCAAGAGGGTTCTGATTTTTTATATGGCTCTGTAACCAAATAAGATTGAAGATTATAAATTATGCTTTGCCTGAGTGATGACAACAATATAGTGAGTAGTTTACATTATATTTTGGACTTCTTGGGAATGTGGTAAATAAATTAGAGAAGAAGGGATATCTAGAAAGCAAATGTCACAGTTCTCATACTAGGGGAAATTGAGGATTTTTTAAATAAGTCTTTATGAAATTAAGAACTTAAGACTTATATTAAGATTTGGATTATTAGCTATGTTTTGATGCCAGGTTTATTCATATACTATGATAATAAAGTAACTTAATCCTCTTGCCACAGTCATCCTATTCTGCGCATGTCACAAGGTTTTTAAGAATTATATTCAAAATTTAATTAAACTACTTTTTGTTTGTGTTATATCAATTAGTATAGCATAGAAATGATTTATTGCACTACTACCAATAGTATAAAAAAGTAGGGTTATATGTTATACTTTATTTCTTGTTTTTCATGTGTATTTTTTATTTATTATCATAAAAGTAAGTAAAATGTAAAAATAGGAAACATTTTAGTTTAGTTAAGGTTATATTAGGCAAAATAAATAAAGATAATATAATACAAAATTTTTCACAATGTACGCACGGGAGCAGCTCAGATTAGTAGCTTGTGGGAAATGTAATCGATAGTATAATGTGAGCCGTGCATTCCTCAACTGATTTACAACTTATCATGGTGAGATTAGTAGTTAGACCCAGTTCAAATGGCAATAAACCAATAAGATTTAGGTATAAATAAATGTATACTGTTGCACATTTAAAGCTACTTAGGACAAACAAATGTAGTTTCATGTTACATTTTCAAATCATTCTAGAAAGAAAAAAATTTTAATTTATATTTATTTCAATTTATTTTTGGTGGTAACGAGGTTGGTCAAATTGGCCAACCCTGCATAGAGTTAGGGTAGAGAAAATATCAAATAAAATATGAAGTTTTACTGGAAAAAAACGTTTGAAATGTATTTAGGAAGTTTTAGAGATTATGCAAATGAAATTTGAGGTTTTTGAGATGAAAAAAAGTATTTTTGATCTTAATATGAAAATCACTTTGCACTTGGACTTGTCAAAGAGAAGACTTGATATAATTATGGACAAATCCTTTTTTTTCTAGTTTATTAAGAATACTTTACTAAAAAATCAGATTTTTTATGAGTAAAAGACATGTAATGTTTACTGAAAGTCTATTAAATTTTGTGAAGATACACATAACATATTAAAAGTTAGTAGTATCTAAACAATAACACTATAACTATAAGTAACACTTTCATTACTGTCATCTTTTTCTGTGCATGTCACAAGTTTTTAGTGAGTTATATATAAAATTTTACTAACCTTCTTTACATGGACTCGGATTAACCCAATTACTACCGGCTATTAATTTTCTGTGTAGCCAACACAAGTCTTGCTATATTTTGTTCCAAAAACAATAAAACTAGAGGATGAAATTGTTTGAAACTTAATAAGAACTTTCATAAATGCATGTAGTTTAAGAAACTTAAAGCCTGTTACTTTTGATAAATTTAGTTTTTTGGCATTATGATCTTTAATATCTTGGAAAATTACATGAGGAAATGGTATTCATAAGAAATGATTACGATATTTATATTTGTTCCAGATTTGAACTTCTTACTTTTTATTGTCCATAAAATGCAAATTTTGTCTATTTTTAATTTTTAATAATCACATACTCTCATTATGGTTTCAAGTAATATAAAAGATCCAAAAATAATATTTCTAAATAAACTTAAACAATAAACTAGTATTTTTTTATTTTAAACTAGGATTTCATTTTTATATAAGTACATAAAAAAACATTTTAATTTTGTTTATAAATGTATTTTTATTTCAAGTTTATGTTTCATTGCAGCCATACTTTTGTTTATTGTGCCGCAAAAACCGTGAAGTTAGCAGTGTATACTTCGTACATTTGCTGTAAACATGCTAGTTGGGGGGTTACTTTCACTCAGTTCAGCGCAGGCACATTTGAACATTACTGTAGATATGATAGTAGGAAAGCTTTTTCTGTACTTAAATATCATTTCTTTGAACTTTCAAACAAGTTTATTTCAACATATGTTCTTATATGTGTTTTCAATGTACAGACAAATCTAATTGCCACTACTAGTGAATGTATGTAATAGTTTACAGTACAGATGGTTTGAATAACACTGCCTGACCCCAGTTACATGATACATCTTCTTAGATGAGATTAACCAAAGGATACAGACACCATAAATTCAAAGAAAATTACTTTACAGCATTTACAAGATTACTCCTGGTCACATTCCTTTCATTATAGGCAAGATTTATATTGGAATTCAAAACTTCATCCTTACCTTGTTTTTCTATTGGCTGATCTTTCCACTTGAGATAGAACAACTCGGTGAGTGTCCCTGTCGTCATTAAAACCATGAAACCGGCAAGAACTGCTCTGGGTAGTTAATAAGTTAAAGTTAGTCACTTCTGTTGTATTATACAAACTTTAATCAAATACAAACCAGAAACTCAGTAATAAATGGATTTTATCTAAGGACTTAAAACGAAACGTTCGTACATGTTTTAATTGAAACAAGATAAAGGTGTTTCGCACCACATCCAGTGCAGTCAGAACCTTATTTTATTCTAATAATTGTGAAAAAAAATTGATAAAAAAATTAAATTTTCACCATGAATTAACTGATACCAGCAATCACAAAACAACAAATCTGTTGCATGTACAAACATGTATAGTCATATCATGTTACAGAGCTCTATTGTATATTTTTGTATTTTACACAGATTTGGAACTCATGCAATAAGAAAAATTAAAATGTAAAATATGAATTAGAAATACAAATATTGCATGTAATTTACATATTTCTTCCATAACGGATTTGATACTTTTAGCTTAATCTGCGGCTCAGAGATTTTATGACTGGAGACTTTCCAACAATGGTCAACTTAATTGAAATAAAATTATCAACATCTAGATGACTGTTCAAATTTAAACCCATGTAGGACCCATACATCATTATAAATTTACAGTGGTAAGTTTTTTTGCTTTCCTTTTTTGTAACATAAGAGCGAAGTCTCACCGTGAAGGTGAAGATTTATGCCTACTCTCCTCCATTATCACCAGCATAGTCTATGAATATTACTGCAAGTAGGAAAGTACCATATTACATCATTTTAGTAATTCATCATACTGCAGAATTTCCTCTTTTCAGCAAATTATCAATTCAACTTACATCCACATCACATAAAAACTTTTAAAAAATTAAACCTATCCTGCCAGAGAAAGTCATGCTAGAGTTGAAGCATTTTTCTTTAGTGATTGAAGTGAACATGTTAGTAGAGGTACAATATATTGATTTTTAATTTTTGTGATCCATCCAGTAAATAGTAAGGTAAAATAATTTAACTTACACTTTGTTTTACAGCCCGTTTTAGTAATATGTAAATACTGAATATAAGATTTTTGTTCTTATCAATAGCAGCATTGGGGTCATCAGTCTTCAATTAGATCATGTATTTGTTTTTATTTTTGTTTTGTAGGCAGCAGAACAAGGCAGACCTCCTGAACGAACTTCTCGCTTTTATGCAAAAGGAGCACTACAATATTTAGTTCCCATTCTCATGCAGACTCTTACTAAGCAGGTTTGTTTATTATCAAGCACACGTACTAGAATTGAAAAAATATATTTTTCCTTACCCCCTTTTTCTAAAGTTGCTTTATCAGAATGTTATTAAATTGTTAGTACAACAGTATTTAAGAGAATAATAAAATTACAGTCCATTTTACTAATTAACTAATTTGTTTGTTAACCCTATCACCCTGGGTACCCTTTACTGTGCATGACACAAGGTTTTATTGTCTTACATTCAAATTTTATTCAACTACTTTTTGTTTATGTTATACCAATTAGAATAGCATAAAATCTTAGCTAATAATCTATATTTTAATAGTATACAAGTTTTAAGTTCTTAATTCTACAAGGAAATATAAAAAAAAAATACCTGAATTTCCACTAGTGTGACTCACATGACACATTTTGTCTTAGCATATTATCATCATCCCTATTTTATCCATCACCCCTCAAAAGTGATAATAATAATAACATAATTAAAATGGTTCATGAGGCATGCACAAGAGTAGCTTGTAATTACCGTAATGTAATTCAACAGTGTATTGTGAGCTGCACGTTCCCCGAGTGGTTTAGAACTGATAATGGCATGGATAGTAGTCAGACGTGGTTCAAAGGGCAATAAAACAATAAAATTTAATTATAAATAGATGTATAATGTTATGAACTTAGAGCT